AAAAAAAGCAGCAGACTCTGAAATACTTTCTAATCCAAGTCATTTTAATCTCTGTTAAAACTAACCCAGGTTTTGAAGAGGATTCAAGGGAAGCCCTCACTTTGTGCTCTGCTCTTAGAGAGGTTTGTCAAACAACATTTTAACTTACACAGTGATAAGAACACAGAATCAACTCAAGAAGACCAGAAATGAAATGACTGTGCCAGTAGCTTGTTCCTACCTTTCCACAATGTGATGGCTAGTAACTGATGTAATTTTGGGTGACCGAGTTTTCCTGACCCACCGCTGGACCATTTCAGTGCTCTGGATACAAAAGCCACTCTTTCAGGGGAATTTGGATCCATCAAACTAAACAATTTAGCCAAGTTTTCTAGAAGTGATACAAATATTTAACATCAGAGATGACAAACAGTTAACATCAGAAATATGTCAAACGTTTGGCTCTTACTGTATCTTAAAAAGCAACTGTTAGTCATCCTTCGTATAAAGACATATTAAATGACAGTCAGTCTTCTCCAGGTAGTGACTTTGAACATTATATGCTTCCATATGTAACTCAGTAACATCCAATTGACCTCTCCGCTGCAGTGCCAGAAGCCACACCCTGCCTAGTAAGCAGCAGGCAGTACATTGAAAAAAAAAGCCTTCCGTGCGCCATGGCTTAGGTTAGATGTCCTGGAGCTGTCAGGGAGTTCTCGTGGAAGAGAGGCTTCAGTTAGGAGTCACACCAGTCATAGAAAGCTGTTGGGGCTGGGAGCCTGTAATTAGGAACAGGACTGTCAGAGGACAACGGGGGGGGGGTAAAACATCAGACTGGATCTATGGATCTAAGTGCATTCTCTGTCCCATTCTCCATCCTGTCTGCAGGCCCCAAAGAACAGCAGTTTCCATGGGCTGTGAAAAGGACTCTTCATGTGATTTCCAGCTGGGCAGCTCACAAGAAGGGCTGTACGAACTGCACGCTTACCGAATCCGACAGTCCGACAAGCAAAGTTTCTCTGACAAAATGGACGACCCCTGGGCAATGTGCACATCACCACACTGACTGGATGAGAAGCCGCTGTCCTTCAAAGCGGCAGAGAGGTCAATTGCTGTGCAGGTAACACATGTTTCTCCTGTGTCGGAAAAGGACAACACCAAAAATCATGCTCCACCTACAAAACAGTGAGGTTTGCTCAAAGTATGCCTGGATGCTCATTATTTTCCACCAAAGACGTCTGTGGGGCGCTTCTGGAATTAAATTAATTCTTTGGCAGGGCAGGAGACCACAACACACGGCACAATGGAAAGGGCTGAAGTCTTAGGAGACTTATGTTACAGATGCAGCTAAGTGTTTTTCAGAAGTGGAAATACATATTAAACAATTTCAAACTAACCCCAGTAAAAGTCTCACCTAGTAGTTCATCTGTTACTTTTGTGTCTGATTTTTCCAGGGACTCTAAAACCAGCATGGACAGATCAGCAGCACTGTTTTGCTACAAAACAGAGACAACAAAAAGTGTTTGTCATTAGAAAAATGTATTAGAAAAACGCATTTTCTCTTTTTGTTTAATTGATTTTGTGAAAAGCAAACTAATAATTTTGGATGATTATAGCTCAGGCACAGGGAGAGTGTGCAGACCGATGAACCAATTATATTTAAAAGAGAAGGGAGCACTTTTCACAAGTCAGCTGTATCTATTTTGTCTCTCTAAGTGAGAAGTGAACTAGGGCAGTGTACCTCTGAATGAAGCAACTGGTAAATTACTGCAGTTTACTTGTCACTTGCTATGGGACAGAGTGGTCACATGAAACTACTACTGTGAAACAGCAGATGTGCAGTAAATCATTCCTTCCTCCATCCCTTTAAATTGGTGTAATTTGTTAATGTGTCCACACCCTCAGTCACAGGAATGTAATACTGTGTGCCAAATTGAAGTCCTCCATGAAAGCAAAACAGAATTGGGTTATATTGCAAATGCAGTGTGGATATATAAGAACATAACAAAATCTCCAGGATGAGGTTTAATTTGACACAGCTCATGTTTTCAGAGAAAAGACAGACTGAGGTGCAATGGTAAAGCTTACACAATAACTTACCAAAATAAGACTACTTATCAGCCCCAAACTTTTAGCACTAATAGCTCACTGCTCAGCTCCCAAAACTGTTTGGATAAAAAAAACCAACAAACAAAAAACCAGGTCTTACTTGGCTGTGACTGAAGAACAACAATGCCCCTGAATACATTAGTTCTCTTGCTTCTGCATGTTTTCCTTGCGACATATACCTGCAAACAAGACCAAAGCAAAACATCCCTTAATATTCAATAAAAGGTTCAAATATGCCCAATATTATTTGGATTTAAAGTGACCTAATATAACATCAAACACAAGGCAGCAAGATTTCAAGCAGGTTAGTAACACAAATAAAACTGCAGTATAGCAGGGTGGTTACGCTGCAAGTATGCAGTGTTTGAATGGATCGTAACAGAAGCAGTCTGAAAGGTTTCATTTTGGGCTGAGATAATGGCACAACCCCCAAAAGCCTGTCATGCTGCACTAGGCAAGTAGTCTAATTATAGTACTGATAAAAATTGCTAACAAATTCTACGACACCAGTTAAAAACTGGAAGCACTGGGTACATTTTTGCACAATCTGCACCTAGGATAAGTGCAATCGAGCACTATGACATGGATGCAACCTAGCAGGCTTCCAGGTCCCTGCCTGGGAGGAGCAGCCCAGCCAGGGCTTGTTTGAGGCCTCCACCCAGACAGAGCCCATGGGGTTGCCCAGCAAGGCCCAGAGGGGGCAGGGATTGGGGACCCCCACACCTGTCCTGCAGGTGCCCACCTTAGGGCCCTGGAGGCGCAGGTGAGGGAGCTCCAGGAGGAGGTCAGCAGGCTGAGGGGAGTCAGGGAGGTGGAGGAAGAAATTGACGGCTACCTCCTTTCCCTGCAGGGCCACACACCCAAGGAGGGAAGTGCCCTCCACAGCAGTGGCAGACGGTCACCTCCAGAACCAGGGCTGCTCGTAACACAGCACTACCAGTTCCTCCAGTCCAGCTGGAGAACAAGTACGAGGCCCTGGCAACACTGGAGAAGGAGGCAGAGGAGGCAACTCCACACTCTCCACGCTCCGAACAGGCCGAAGAAGCTAAGCAGTCCCGGAGGAGAAAGCGTCGAGTGATCATCATAGGTGACTCCATCCTGAGAGGCACAGAGGGTCCCATCTGTCACCAGGACCCCTCGACATGCAATGTCTACTGCCTACCCGGAGCAAAGATTCGTGACAGGGATGATCCAGGCCGTGATCCAGCCCACCGATTACTATCCCATGGTCCTAATCCACGTGGTTACAAATGATGCGGCCAGGAGAAGCCCTGATCACCTGATGGCAGACTACCACGCTCTGGGGGGTGTGCTGAAGGAGACAGGTGCACAGGTGGTTTTCTTTTCTGTTCTACCAGTGAGCAGATGTGGAAGATGGCATGAGACATGCATCGCAGAGACCAACTGGCGGCTTCGGGAATGGTGGCTTGAGGCGGGCTTTGGTAATTGTGCGTTCACTTCTAGGTTAGCAGATCTCCTTCGGCAGGCTTGAAACTAGGCTCGTTGGGGGAAGAGGAAGACGAG